GATGGCAGAGTGAAGAATGGCTGGGGAGATGCACTGTTAGTAGACAGGCCCAGAAGCAATCAGTTTTGGTTTGTTTCCTTGTGTAAGGTGGGGTAAGGGGTGAATGAACAGGTGAGATGATGAGTGCAGGATGTGGTTCAAATGTGGCAATGATCGAGCCAGCCAATGATATCACGGCAAAAGAGATGGAGCTCCACTCTGTCTGCTCTTTTGAAAAGTCTTGCTCCAGCTTTTGCCAAAATTCAGATTCTAGTAGTTAGTTAAAGTCAGCAGGTCACCACATGCTTTGCATACTGAAGTGAAAGGCCACTCCAAACTTGCTGCAAATTCTGTTTCAGAGGAAACTGTACAGACTTCACAAATTATATGATTTATATATAGGGGGTAGCTACGAGTCAGAAGTTGGAGCATGTGGAAGATTTGTGGTTTGATTCCTGGATGCAAAGTATCCTTGGGCATAATAATGAATCCTGGGTCGCTCCGAATGCATTGTGACACAATACACAGTGTGAATATATGTGTGAATGGATGGATGAGACATGTTGTATAAAATGCTTGGAGTGCTGTACAGAGAAGATGCAATAAAAAGTCAATTTACAATTGTAGTCAGAAGTTTAAATGATTCATGATTCTGTTTCTTCTTTTCAATGGTGGAATGATTATACAATATGCACTATTAATTATTACTTTAAAAAGACTTTGAAAAGAAGTTTGAATTTATTTTGTATTTTTTTCTGATACACACAAGGTCAAAAGTATACCTACAGACTAAAATATATATACATACACTCATTTAAATCTTCCAATAAGTAGTGCTGGAAGTTCTCCAATATTCTTACTTGGCAAGGCCAACTTTTTGTTAACTCTGTTTTTTAGTTATCATAATTATATTCAAATACTAGTTTCTGTCTGCAGCATAAAAAGGATTTGTTTGACAGCACTCATTTGGATTGATCAGCAGTCAGGATCTATAATAGAGAACTGTAGATTTACACCGTTTGGGAAGGACTCTTGGAGCAATTTGTAAACAATGACAGATTCTAAAATCATCACTTCAAACAACTCTATATAAGTACAAAATATTCCAATTTGTCACCACTTCACCAAGGTCTGGAAGAACACCCAAAACAGTCACACTCAGATGAGAGGAAATTGGTGACAGATATTTGTGAGTCTCGATGGTTCACGAAGGCTCAAGTCTCCTCTGTGAACTGTAAACTGCTGGAACACCAGCATAACCGTCCACAGTGAAGCATGTTTTACATCGCTGTAGCTTGAGACCATGACAGACCATGACATGAAAAAAACTTCTGCTCCAAAATAGACACCTGCAAGTTTGCCGAAAATTTGCAGCTGCCCATGTGGACAAAATTCAGGGTCAGATGAGACAATGGGTGCAATGACAAGAGGTATTTTTGGACACATGAAGATGAAGCAGGCAAATATTAAGCTTCTTGAATGGCTTTCCTAAAGCCTCAACCTCAATCAAGTTAACTATGTTTAAGTCACGTCCATGCAGGGAGACCAACCAGTTTAAATGAACCCTATTCTTTCAAGAAGAGTTGTAAAATATCCAGCCAGAGCAATGTCAAAAGCTCATCGATGGCTATCAAAGTGTACGGTCAAGTTGCAACTTGCTAAGGAATGTTTAACCAAATAGAGTTATATGTGTACGTTTGACCATGTGTGGATAAGAGAAAATTTGATATAAATTCAAACTTGTGTAGCCAGTTCTTCAGGTATAGAACTCTCTCTTCACGGTATCTACAAAAAACGATAATCGCTGCTAGAAACAGTGTATTTTAATCCAAGCCATGAATTATGCCCAACATGGACCAAGTTGTTTTGGTGTCTAAATCAGACAATATACAAAATCAAAAAACAAAGAGCAGCCTGAAGTAAACATTTGTCTCATTATTACATGATTTTTGTTGTTGCTGTCACCAGCTATTGTGTTTCCCAGCCTGCTAGATTGTAGAGGCGAGTCTTTTTAGCAGCAAAGCAAAAGCAAAAATACTTGCTCTCACTAGGTTGTGATCAAATTCATTTTGGATGATACTGAATGAAAAATTGTGCCAAGGGATTATTTTTGAATGAAAATAAAATATTGTCAATTTGTTAGCTTTTTGACAGCTAATCACTACCATCACTGACCAAATCCCCAAACTAAAGTGTTTAGAGTTTTCCTCTGTGTGAGGTATAAAACTTCAAGTGTCTCTGTAGCGCTCATTCACAACGGGGCGATTTAGATCAGTTGCACCAAATGCTTGTGCGCCAGCAGGTTTCCCTGGGTGAAATTCTCCTCTCATTCAACTACAAGGCAAGCAACAAGCTTTGTTACTGTTTGAGAAGCTAACTATACAGCAAAACTAAGTGAGGGAATAACAAAGTAGCAGCAGTCAGATTGTATCAAGTCCATGTCTACAGTGCCAACAACCAGCTGCATTAGCATAGTGCCAGGACCACAGGGTGCCCATGAAGGAAGTCCAAACAGACGGATCAGCTCTGTGTTTCTCAGAGTCACACTAAGATTCCCTCATTCTGATTGTTCTGCTTCATATTAAAAACGACTTTATGGCAACTAAGAAGAGAAAGATCAAATCAAAATATTTCAAGGGCTCAGTGGAAGTTTCTTCTCTTCATCTATTTCTAAGTAAAGGCAACTTTTGCCAGAGCCACAGAGCTTGTACAAAGCCCACTTTGGTCTCTGGGGGTTGGTTTCTCTTAAAGGTCCATGTGGAGAGCAGCCAGCCTTCAAAGTGAGAAAGCCAACCATCCGCCCAGAACTAAAACCTTAGCAGCAACTCAAAGCAATTTTCTGGCTATTTTGTTGATTTAATCCCTAGTTTGTGATGCTTGGGCACAGCAGTGTGACTGTATTAGTGTCTTGTGTGTGTGGAGACAGGAGGATGGTGGGGGGAGCTTTCACACCCCTGAGGGCCCAGATCTTCAGCACTCCCATATTAGAACTTTTACAGTCTACCCATCATGGAGGCGTTCATCCCTGTCTGTCTAATCATGGGACTGGTAATGTTGTGGCTGAGTAGGGGGTGAAGCTGTGGGATCCTTCCAAGCTGAGCTCATCTGTCAGCTTGCCTAATCATGCGTCAGGCTGAGATGAAGAGAACAAGTGGAATGTTACCTGCTGACTGTCACCCTGTGGATGTGAAAATGGCCAGTTAAGATGATCTTGAATCCCACATCATTGCAACTAAGTCTAGAGAGAGGAGAGCAAATTAAACCCCTCCATATATATTCCACTGCAATCACACATTTTTGTGTCTGCTTAGCTAGACATTTTCATGTTGACTTCTAACTGCTGCCATTAACCTTTAAAGTAGCCAAGGCAAACACTGGTTTTTATTAAAGGTAGGAAAGGATCAGTGTCAGCATCTCTGACAAGGTGGAGAAAAAGCACAATTATATAAACTCAACCTAAGCCAAGCTCCTCAAAAAGTAGCGAGTCTGTGGTGATGCATGGAATCTATATTTGTGGTTTTCTGTTATCCTCTTGGTTCCAATTGCTGAAAGGGCCAGGAAATTTACTTTACTTTACATTTCTGCATGTAAAAGAAAAACAAGAACCAAAATGCTTTAACTTCTTTACATCTACCAAGTTCACCAACACCGATTAGCAAAGATTATTAATTATTAAAGATTAAGATAACAAAGGGTTCAACCTCTTTTAAGACAATTTTCAATAATTTTGTGCACTCAAATATGAAAATATTTAACAGTAAAACAAATGCCAAAAACTGATTTGATTTGATGTGCAGCATATTCTGGTTTCTGAAAATGTACATTGTATGTGGCCAGAACAAAACCCAACCCTCACCATAGACATATTGCTGATGACCTGATAGATTTTAGGGTCTGGAAATGGGAAGACAACACCTTATTGTGTAAAATTTTTAAAACTCTCTAACAAAGGCATGCATATAACAAACCTGTATATTCAAATTTAATATAAGATCAAAGCAATAAACAGTTTGGGGGTTTTTTTTTGTTTGTTTTAATCCCACAAACTCAGCACATTTTCCAGCAGACCTTTTTAAAGAATCATGTTTCAGAAGCATTAAGAATCAAGTTACAGAACTAAAAGAAAACCAATTGGCTTTCAAGGGGGAGCGCTCCGGGAATGCTGACCTGCTGGTTTGCGGGAGTGGAAAGGAAGTTCATCCAGGCCCTCTGTGCTTTTATAAAAAGACCACAGATGGTTTCGCTATACACCAGTATTAATCTGTCAGCTTGGTTTGTGTTCTGGGCTGGGGGGAATAGAAGAGGTTCTACACCGTGCAGGTGTTATTGGGGTTATTTGTGTCATGACAGCCCGTCTTCATGAATGCTTCACTTAGATCCCTAAGGTCACAGGCCAGCCCTTGATCCTTCCCTGGAAACAACAGGGTGTATGTCTCGTCTATTGAGAGTAGAAGGGCAAAAACGGGTAAGTGGTAGCAACAAGAATAGAGATGGGAATTTGTTAGAGGCAGGTAGGGGGAGAAAAGGTGTTATTATCATATTTCTGTCAAACAACCAAAAAAAAAGCCCCAAGCACTTAGTGACTGTAGGGACAAAGAGGATGAGTCCTCCAGAAGAACCTGGATAAGGGAGGTGTAGCTATCGCTTGTGAACAGCTGTGGAATGTTGAGAAAGAGAAAAAGAAAAAAAAGCATCATAGTCAGACAACGAACAACAGAAAGTTTAAAATACAAACTGTTGGAGCCAGCAAAAATGTACAGATGTATGTGTGTGCAATCGTGTGACTTTTTAGTTTATTCTATCAAGAATGGCAGCAGAGAGAATGCAAAACATGTGTAAATACATGGGTTTTTTTTTTTACATGTGAATGTAATAAAGATATTCAATTCAATTCAATTCAATTTTATTTATATAGCGCCAAATAACAACAAATGTCGCCTCAAGGCAAACCTATATGAGACAAACCTAATTTCTTTCTCAAAATTGGTCCTCTGTTTGTTTGTACTTACTCTTTCCTATAGGAATCTGGAAGGGAATACCTATTTGCTACTAAACTCATAAGCTGCAGTGGCAGGGTGTCATCATGGGAATGAGAAGTTTCTTTTTGGGCTTCTTAACTGTGGCCCTCATCCTCCAGTTTGCCACTGCTGGCCTTGTCAGGAATGTCATCCGCCATCGCAGAGAGGCTCTGATGCCGAAGAAAACCCAGGAGAACCTCACACTCCCCCATCCTGACCAGCCAGTAGTTTTCAACCATGTCTACAACATCAACGTCCCCTCCACGTCGCTCTGCTCTGTGGACCTCGACTCACCAGGAGGTACTGACCTCAAGCACAAGACCGTCCCGATGGAGATGCAGAACACCGAGCACATGGAACACACGATGGATGGTGACAATCAGATCGTTTTCACCCATCGCATCAATATCCCCAAGCAGGCATGCGGCTGTGAAAACCAGCTGCCAGACATCAAGGCTATCCTGAGCAGACTAGAGATGCTGGAGTCAGAGCTGTCTAGTCTGAGGGAGCACTGTACCAGTGGAGCAGGTTGCTGTGGAGCTCAAGTTACAGGTAGGTCTACATCTGTTACTGTATATGCACTCACTGTGATTAGAAGTGTTATAATGACAGTGTGTTTACTGTACATATAGGCTCACATGTGTACAGGCATTTTAATAAACATCGGCAAAAATGCACAGAAAAAGCTTTTGTCCTTAAAGCTGCACTCAATAAATCTTTGAGGTTATTTGATAAAAAAAAAATCTCTTTTAATTAACCTATTAAAAATAAATATGAGTGGGCAGCAGTTTGTGGAAGCCACCATGTTTCCTAACATATCTATCTACAATCTACTGAAGTGTCCCATCCATCCATCCAGTTTTCCCAGTTGTCGTACTGAAATGTATTATTGAAAATGTTACACAAAAAAAGGCATTTTTGGTCACTGAAAATAGCAGTTTTAAAAAATTCTTTCCAGGAAGAGAAGTTTTAGAAACCATATGTGGATTAGGAAAGAGAAGAATTTGTCTTGCAACATCTATAATAATATGCAAGTATGCATCTTTATGTCCTTTTCTGATGTCAAACTAGGTGGGAGTTAAGTTAAAGCTGTCCAAGGTAGATTTCTTTAAAAGACTATGGTATTGCATATTTGAAGTGAGTATGACTTATATGGCATATAAGCTATACTGACTTATACGACATAAAAGTCCTATGCCATTGACATAGGGCAGCACGGTGGTTAGTACTGTTGCCTCACAGCAAGAAGGTCCAGAACTCAATTCCACCATCAGGCCAGGGTCTTTCTGTGTGGAGTTTGCATGATCTCCCTGTGTTCGCACGTGTTCTCTCCTCTGGCTTCCTCCCACAGTCCAAAGACATGCAGTTAGTGGGGATAGGTTATTTGGAAACTCAAATTTGCCCATAGGTGTGAATGCGGAAGTGAACGTGAGTGGAAATGGTTGTCTATGTGTTAGCCTTACGACAGATTGACGTCTTAGGGCTAGAGGCAGGTGTACCTGAAACCTGAAGGTGTACCTGACTCTGAAAAAGGATAAGCAGATGGATGGATGATTTCTATGACATGCACAAATGTTTTTCATCTCTCAAGACTGCCCATCAAAAAAAAAAATTGTCAGGCAACTAATCTGTAGACAGTAGCCGGTTATCAAAAATGAAAATAGAAATAAATCAACTAACTGTTATTGAAGTACATAATTGTGCAGTCCAAATTCAGTTTCATCCAGACAAGTTATGGTTGAGTTGAATATTTAGAGCAAAAAAATATAAATAAAGTTTGGTGCCTGCGCTTTGAGCTTATATCTCCTTACCAATATGAAAATTTTATTTGGGGAGTGGTGAGTAATTATTTCCCAGACTTCAGGTGGATGTTAGGGTGGTAGAGGGGTTAAAGAAGGAGCTGGTGATATGGGGCAACGGCAGCACTGACTTGTCAGTCATAATTACAATTTTGTTTCCAGGTTCTATATTGTATGGCCATCTGTTCATAACCATTTAGTAACCAAGTTAGTCATCAGATATTGTTACTTTAAACAAAGGGCATATGCATTTCATTTCTTCATTAAATTAAAATGATGTTAATGTTTGTTGTTCAGAAGATGTCAGTGTTTCTACCATGTTTGCTGGGCAGAGGCTCCAATTACTTAGACTTCACTTTTAACACAGTAGCTTCTGTTTGTTTCATACAAAATATTATTACAGGACTAAGTAAAGCAGTGCCAAACTGGAGGATGAGTAGTGCACATTTGCAATAATTTAAAAGGAAATCCTTCTCTTTTTTGCCATTCCTCAGGTGAAGTGTCCTCAAAGCCCTACTGCAACGGGCGCGGAAACTGGAGTACTGACACCTGTAGTTGCGTATGTGAGCCTGGATGGAAGGGCCCCAACTGCACTGAACCTGAGTGCCCCAGTGACTGCCAGGACCAGGGCCGCTGTGTAGATGGCAAATGTGAATGCTTTGAGGGCTTTGGCGGGGATGACTGCAGCATTGAGCTCTGCCTGCTGGACTGTGGCGACTACGGTCACTGTGTTGATGGGTCCTGCCTCTGCGAAGACGGTTTTATCGGTGAGGACTGTTCTCAGACCAACTGTCTCAACAACTGCCTGGGCCGCGGACGCTGTGTGGACGATGAGTGCATCTGCGACCACCCATGGGCGGGTTTCGACTGTTCTGAACTCATCTGTCCAAACGACTGTTATGATAGAGGACGCTGCATTAATGGTACCTGTTACTGTGAAGAGGGCTACACTGGGGAGGACTGCGGTGAGCTCACTTGTCCGGGTAACTGTAACGACCACGGGATCTGTGTGAATGGCCAATGTGTGTGTCACACTGGCTACACTGGTGAGGACTGCTCTAAGCTCACCTGCCCCAAAGACTGCAGCGAGAAAGGTCACTGCTTCAACGGGAAGTGCATCTGTGATCCCGGATTTGAAGGTGAAGATTGCTCAGTCCTCTCATGTCCTGACAACTGCAGCAACAGGGGACAGTGCATTAATGGAGAATGTGTATGCGACCTAGGATATCAAGGTGAAGACTGTAGTGAACTCTCCTGCCCCAACAATTGTCAAGACCGTGGCCACTGTGTGAATGGGCAGTGTGTTTGTGAGAAAGGTTATGCTGGTGAGGACTGTAGCATCAAGACCTGTCCTAAAGACTGCATGGGACATGGAGAGTGTGTGGACGGTGAGTGTGTGTGTTTCACCGGCTTTACAGGGAAAGACTGTGGTGAGTTGACCTGCCCCGATAACTGCCTGGACCGTGGTCACTGTGTGAATGGGCAGTGCGTATGCGAGAAAGGTTATGCTGGTGAGGACTGCAGCATCAGGACCTGTCCTAAAGATTGCATGGGCCGTGGAGAGTGTGTGGACGGCAAGTGTGTGTGTTTCACTGGCTTTACAGGGAAAGACTGTGGTGAGTTGACCTGCCCCAATAACTGCCTGGACCGTGGTCACTGTGTGAACGGACAGTGCGTTTGTCATAAGGGTTTCACTGGTGAGGACTGCGGTGAGAAGACATGTCCCAAGAACTGCCTAGACAGAGGCTACTGTGTAGATGGCAGCTGTGTGTGCTATGAGGGATTCACTGGTCCAGACTGCTCCATATTAACCTGCCCAGAAGACTGCCACAACCAGGGGCGCTGTGAGAATGGAGTGTGTGTCTGTGATGAAGGATTCATTGGAGATGACTGCTCAGAGGGTAAGACAGCTTATATATATACTTTCTAATAAAATCATTACCTACACAAATAACTTTCTACGCAACTTTACCCATGTTTAGGGTTAGGAAATGTTTTAGCTACGTTCTCATCTGTTAAAATTCACCAGATCATTGGCAACACAGTCTTTGGGTAGGTGTTAGATTTTGTTTTGATCAAACTATTAACAGGTAGTCCATCTGCATCTAATGGACAAAGGTCACTCTTTTGAGGATGTCAATGTTCACATTATGGAAAGAGAAGACAGATAGTTTGAAAGAGGAGTGAAAGAAGCCATCTATGTCCACTGTGAACGACCATCTTTGAACAGAGGGCGGGGCTTACGACACCAACTGTCTGCCATCTATAATCCAGTTTTGAGATCCCTTCTCAGACACCTTAATACCCACTCACATCCTGGGCCAATTGACCTCAATAAATTACATGATAGGGTGGGGCTAGATTTTACAGTGGGTAAACCCAGAACCTTGGCTGATTGTGACCTACACCCATTTTCACACCTTGGTTCGTGTGATTAGGTAGAGGATCAATAGGGGGTCCATGACCCACTTGGGGACACTCCCATAGGGCTTAAAATCTGGGACTCTCCACCAATTGCCCTTAAAACTAAAGAAGCTTCTTGGATGAAATGTCTCCAAGGAAACTTAAAGGAGTCCAGACACTTTTCCTTCCAAGCTCCTTAGACAATAGGTAGTTTACTTAAATAAAGACTCCTTATGTAATATTACAGAAACTTTAGCATTAAAATACACTTAAATAAGGTTTTTTAGTCTGTTGGTAGTGTGTGCCAAGCGTTCAATTTTATTTATAT